CTGCAGACTTTGAAACAGAGTCCGTGTGTGTGTGTGTGTGTGTGTGTGTGTGTGTGTGTGTGTGTGGAGACATTTCAGGAATTCCGTGTTTGTGCTGCTGTTTAAACCAAACTATAAATATATACAGAAATTACTCAACGACACATTAACAGCAACACTGCAGGTTCAACAGAGAGAGAGCAGCGAACATGCCTGAGCCGGGAGATGAGTCGCCTCACAGCCTCCAGTTACTGAACATGTGAGCGGCGCAGATGAATGACGTAAGCGTAAACAATATGGAAGAGGCGGGTCAACATGATAAAAAAAATAGGATTAATGCACTGTAACTCTTTATTGATCGGTACAGAGCAACATAAACCCATTATTTGTTATTTTTTATGGTTTTATATTATATTTAAAAAACGTGGACAAAAACCAGGATTACTGTCAGATAGTTTGCTTTTACACTAAACAGCCAGTAGAGGGCGGTGTCACTTAATATGAAATCCAGCACGTTTCTATCAAGAGTGTCTGCCTCATATCACAGTCTTTATATTTATCTTGTTTAGCTCCTTATTCTATTAGATTCAGGTTTTCTTACAGAGGACTCTACTATTTTATTTAAATCGCTTTATGTTCAGCTCCTTAATTTTATACTATTTTAAATGTTTAACCCTTGTTTATGCTGTGTTTTATTTTACTGAGCTGTTCTTCTACGTTTAAGCGTTGTTTGCTATAGGTCAGCTTTAATGTTGTGGCTCCTATAATGCAGGACTTCCCCAGCTTTGTGATGAAAACCACTTGTGCCAAGATTTTACAATGATGCTGTGTAATAGTTCCCGCAGTTCAGTTTCCTGGGATTGTTAGCCTGCTGGCCTGTCGATCCCACTCGCAGTTCAGATTATTTAAATCTATGTGCCTGAGGAGGAAATTAGTGGACATGGATTACTTTTACTCTAATTGGACAAAAAGAAAAACTGCTACAGGACAGAAACATCTGCATTATGCTGCTAACACAGTCTCTTTGCGAGCAGCTGCACAGACAGCATGCTAACACTAATGTTAGTCAAGAAGAATGGTAAGTATGCGAAAATGTGTTTCAAGTCATTTTATGGGGAAACACAAACGTAATTCTAACGAGTTGTACGACGAATTACTTTCTCCTGAGTAATTAGGTAATGCACTGCATTACTTTTAAGAGAAGTGTTCTGTGCATTATGTGTAACACATTACTTTTTTTGAATAATTACCCCACCACTGATCACAGCAAAGCGTTATAAATTAAGCTTGTGTTTACTTTTACTTCACGTCCTAATTAAGCAAAAAATCCTGCAATTTATGTGTTTCATTACCCGCAGACTCAGTTTACACCTTAGTATGGATGGTTAATCAAATAAATATTTTATTGTTGTGTTGTGCCAAAAAGTGATTGTCTGCCAAAAACTGATTTCCAATGTTTCTGTGTATTTTTTATGTGTAATATCTTTACGTATGTTCGTAAATAGACTTCGGTGAATAGGGTTTATATAGAGAATTAAAACAATATCTGTTTTTCAAGTATCTTTACAACTCTCTGCTATTGTACTTACATTATAACCAATCCGGTCCTTTATCCCCACTTAAAATATTTTTACAGAACTATTGTAATATTTGCTGCCATGTCTGCTGTCCTCTTGGCCAACTTACTCTTACAAAAGACATTTTTAATGTTAATGAGATTTTTAACTGCATAAATAAAGGTTATATAAAAGTCACTGCCAAAAACTGATTGCGGCTTCTACCTTGTTACACGAATGTTGTTTGTGGCTCAAGATGACTTTATGTCATCCATGAGGGATGCATTTGACATATGTTTCACATATTATAGCCCAACAAGTTACTTATAGCAGTTTAAATACGAGCAATCAGTTTTTGGCAAATACCGGAAATCAGTTTTTGGCAGACAATCACTTTTTGGCACAACAGTTGCATCTGTTTACTTGTGGCATGGGGAAGGTTAATAATTTGGCGATTTTCATGAAGCAGTGGAGTAGCAGAAAACCCACTCTAAACATCAAAATCTTGTTATTGAACATGTAATATAGCTCCATGTGAGCTTTGTTGAAATGTAGGAAGTTACATGACTTTAATTGTTTTACTCAATTAGCAGTTTAAGCTATTGCTGATTAATGGTGGCTTGTAATCAAACGTCATCCCTCTCTGCTTGTGTTTACCTGACAGCTGCCACAGACAGATCCAAAGAGACTAGAGACTTTCTGAAAGGATAATGAATAACGCTAAGCTTTGAAGAGTACATTTCCATATCTGTAATTACTGTTGTTCTGGCACAACAAAAAAAAGAAAATGCAAAACACTCGTCAAGATAGGAATAGGTTTACAGTCCTGTTTGTAGTCGGAAGACAAAAACAGGCGCACAGGTGACCTTTGCTAACAAATTGTTTTTATCATAAAAGTTTTTAACAAAAATATTTTTCTCATTTTATCTCTGCCTGTGTTACAACATGTATCGGCAGCATCCAGCCTTAGTGTGTGTTAAACAGATTGTTCCAAACCACGGCTCTAAATATGCGGATCAATCCTCTGTTGTTGTTAGCATCCGAGGCTAACACGCGGCATGCGGCATCACAGCAGCCAATGACAGACGTAGAGGAGGGGCATACCATCAGAGAGCATTGTGGGTACTCCAAAAGTAATTATTTATGTCACTTCAGAGCTCGCAGACGAGTACTGTTCGGTGTTAATACACCGAACAGTACTCGTTCGGTGTCACAACTACGATACGTGACCCAGTAAACATAAGCAGCACACACTGCTGTTAGCACCGTGACAGAGATGGACAGAGCCGTCATAGTAGTAGCTGGGTCGGGGCGGTTGTTCGTTAAGACTATACTTTCAGGGATCATTTCTATAGTTTCTAACTTGAGAAATGTGTTTCTAAAGTGTGTGGTCTCGCTAACCACGATGATGAGTTGGTGATACTCCTCCTTGAGCGCGAAGCGGGCCGAGAGACTTGATTTAATTCATATGCTCTTTGCTTTTGATGACCGTTCACTGCTTCTTCGGAAACAGCGATGGGAGGAGTATGATCAGAGTGGTTACGAAATGATGTTAAAAGAAGTTGTTAATTCTGTTGGTGACATAGACAGCAAAAGCTATGTGAGTGTGTTGAACTACTCGATTTTGAGTCACACCAAAAACCTCAAAGCATGTCTGTTATGCGTAGGAGTTGTGCGTCCTAAAACGTTTTTAATACTACTTGGATAAATCTTGATACCAAAGCCTTAATACTTTGAATTTACAAAAGCTAACAGTGAAGTAGATTTGTTATTTTAGATTGTTTTCATGTGTTTTTACTGTGATATATGTTATGTAATTTATATAGATATGTATATACTGTCCATATATTACTTTATGCTTTAATTTTATATTTTAATAATTGCACCTACTCAAAGATTTAGATTTATCTTTAAAAAAATGTATGTTATTTGGGGCCCCCTTCAGGTGGCATAAAGAGAGGAAATGATGTGCATTTCACTCCATGTTAGTCATTACTTAATTGTATGGAGTGTCAAGAGTGCCAACATTAATAAATAAATGCATCATTCAAAATGTTAATTAAATTTTCATTAAGTAATTAAAAATATCAGTTAATTTTATTAAAATATATTTCAATATTTAATTAACTTGGTTTAGTTCCTGTGATGCATTGAAGCATGAAATAATTAGAAACGGTCTTTACAGCTTGGACGGTAACATTGATCGGTTACCCTGCACAGTGAGCCAAGACAGGTCGACATAAAAAAAAAAAACGGATCAGTTCTCAGTGAGGTTTTTTTCTTTTTAATGATTTAATAAATTTTGGCATTTCTTCATAAAATCAGCATGATGGATCTAATAACTATCGTTTAGCTTGACTGAGTTGTGTAATAGCTGGTTTTCCTTCTTCATTATCTGACAGTTTATTTATTTACTCAGGTGATGTGAGTGAAGTATTCTCTGTGTACATCAAATGCAAGTTATTTGTGAAGTTTAAAGTAGGTTTGGAATACAAGTAGTAACTCTGTTCTAATGCTTTATCATCTGCCTTGTAGTCCTGTGTCCTTCATTTTCACAGAATACATTGCGTTTTTGTGAAAAATTCATCCTAGCAAGCGAGCAGATCCTGATTTTACTAAACCAAAAAAGGACGAAACTGAGATTTTGGGTTCATGATGGGACCACGCCTGAGGCGGCAGAGAAATCATTTCAGAGAGCCAGTGGTGAGCCGTTCTGTGACATGACAAGAATCAAATGTTCCACCATGCAGAATGAACATTTTGATTGCATCACCACTAGACAACATTGCAATTGGTCAGATGTGTTTAAAAGCATCCGAATGAAAAAAATGAAAGCCCCTAAGTCGCTGGATGCTAAATAAATTTCTCTCTCTCTCTTTTTAACAATGTAAGAGTGTTGAGTTATTATACTGAATCACTCACAAACACTTAAAATAGAAACACTGACACAAGCTTTGCATTTAACTGTCATTAATAACTTTCACAAAGTGTAAAAACAAAGTGTCATCAAAGTTTGAATGAAATTGTTTCCATACTGTTTATTTGTATTTAAACATTACACTGAAAACAACAATAAACTAGCAGAGCCCCATTTTTAACAATATATTTTAGATGTTTAGCAGTAATGTGCTACCCCGTACACGCTAGAAAGCCTTTTAATCTGGATGTTATTAGTATGTATGCAATAAGAGAGGAAGGCCAAAAAATGCCTTCAGTTCACTGATAGTTTTACAAAAGCAGAAACACTTAAACAGATGTTAAGAGGTCGAGTCACAATCATTGTTTTGTATACAAAATCTTCTCCTTTCAACTCAAAGTGACTTTAAATACAAAAAATAAAAACAGCTAAAGAGCTGCTGTTAAAATTTCCATAAGGAGACATAATTTCAAGGAAATAAACGTATTGTATTGGTGATTAGACCCTGATGGCCCATCACAGCAGAACAGAACAGGACCTCCTGGAGTCTAGATGCTGGTGGCGGAGATGAAGATGGAGGCTCGGATGGAGCCTGAGTAACATGGGTAAGGCGGAGATGGAGCTGGGTTGCACGAGGGCAAATGTAAGGGAGAATAACACATGAGCAGTGAGGTTTAAAGACTGGAATGAAGGCTGATTACCTTGAACAGACTGGCAGAAAGATGATTGGACAACACCAGTGATGTCACATTGAGCTTGACAACATGGGAAAGTGGAAGTGATGTAAAACAGACACTGTTTTGGCTTCCCTTCATTGGCTTCCTGTTAAATCCAGAATTGAATTCAAAATCCTGCTCCTCACATACAAGGTCTTAAATAATCAGGCCCCA